AAAACATAGATATGTGTAAAAATTACTGAAGGAAATTAACCATGATGTGAGTTACAGTTATTTCTAGGTGGTAGGATTACATGTGATTTTTATTTTCTTAACACATTTCTGTAAGTATTTTTCAATAGCTGTTTATGAATTTATAATTAAAATGTTAAATACATATAAGATAAAGTTTAGACAATACTAATTACTGTGATGATGTTTCAGTCTTTCCAGTGTCAGCCTGCCTTTAGCTAAGATAATTCCAATAGTAAATGGACAGATCCATTCAGTTTGCAGTGAAACACCTAGTCATTTTGTTCAGGTAAGAAGAAAACTTTGGGGTATTTGGGGTATTAAAACTAGAATGCATTAACATTTGTTTTTGTCAGTCTTTAAATTTTAACAATCTGGAAAAATATGAAGTGTTATCTTCTGTGGTCAATTGAGCATCTTTCATTGCTTGTTGGCCATTTTTTTATACTTTTTTAATGATCTGCTCAAGCTATTTCCCATTCTTTTATTGATGTGGTTTTCTCTTTATTAATGAGTTGTAGAAGTTCTTTATAAATGCTCATAAAAGTCCATTGTCAGATATATAGGTTGTATTTGGGTTTTGTTTTTGTTTGTTGGATGTTTGGGCGTTTTTTGTTTGTTTTTGTAAAGGTGTCTTTTGATTATGAAGTTTTTAAGGTTAAATACACTTATTTTCTTATCTAAAAAAAAATACAAAAACTAAATTGTATTCTTGGATATTGTCCTGTTTGTCTAATATAAAATTGCACTTCTCTCCTGTGATACTTGTTCAAAGAAATAAAAAACTTAAAATCGTATGTTAAGTGTGATAGAATGCCCATGCGAGTAATAATGTATCATGGCAAATTTATGAGGTTGGGAATACCTTTCTCCATGTTATAGTCCAACACCTGACAGACTGTATTGTAGCCCTGATAAAATCTAGCGGTCAGTTGAATTTACAGTGTTAATGTTTTGCATTAAGCTGTGTTAGTGAGCATATTGAGCCTTAAAGCAGATCAGTGATACAAGTCCTCAAATTTTGAGAATAAAAAAACTTTTATGGAGAAGTAAAGCATTTTAATAATTAATATAACTATTAATAATACACCAATAATTTGCTCACTAAAGCTACATAGACAGTGGGCTGTTTAAATTTTTCCCTAGACTACCTATTTCTCCATCTTCTTTCTTAGGAAAGCATTTTAGAATGCATTGGTTAAGACTGATATTATTAAATGGATAACTTTAAATCCGTGTTAAGTGTTTTTTAGCTGAGTCATTTGCAAACTTGGAAACTGTATTATAAGTAAAGAATTACTTGCAGTATACCTCAATTCCAAACTACCTCAATAATGTGCAGTGAGAAGAGTCCCTAGGCATAAGGGTAAAGATGGCATCCTTCATATAAGAACCTAACCAATAAATATCTCCTAGAATTTATTATAAGAAAAAAATACTCCTTTCATTAAATGGTTTTTTGGGGGGGGTTTTGGCTTTAACACCACTAAACTTAGCGCTAAATTCCTTTCTTGATTGCAGAAGTGAATTCAGATTATCTACACATTTTCAAACTGTAACATTTTGTTGTCATCTTTGTAGGATCTGTTGATGATGGAGCAAGTGAAAGACTTTGCAGCTAATGTCTACGAAGCTTTTAGTACCTCTCAACAACTGGAGAAATGACTTTTTCCTTTCAAAAAACCTACAGTGGAATTAATTTACTTTTAAATATACACTGAATAAGTCAACTATATAAATATAGGGTAATGATTTGTTACCAAAATGCCTAATAAAAAATATTCTGAAAGTCTTCATTCATAATAAAACAGATTTATTTGTCATCTTAATTTATTTTTTAAAGTCATCAACAGACTAACTAGTTTTTGTGGGCATATCTGAATGTACACAGCACACAGATCAGAATTTGTTATACCATGGATATTAGTTCCAAATGGACTGAAAACTAAATGTAGATACTTGTTTTGTATAATATGAAACTCAGTATACTTTGACATTGATACTGAGGTAAAATCTCTTTGGGAAGTAGGTGTGAAGTTCGGAAAATATGCTATTTAATGAATCAAAGTTCACTGAACTGCAGCATACAGTAGTAAATCAGACTTTTCTTCAGTTACTCCTCAAAGGAATAAATTATGTGTCTTAAATATATTTGATGGAGGACTTTGCTTTTTATGGAAATCAGTGAATTTAACAACCATGACCAGCATTCCTTTTTCTTCACTGTTGTTAACAATCCTTAGAAAATTACATAGTGATTTAGAGGCTAAATTGTGTTGATGCCGTTTACTCACATATTATTTTAACTACATACTGTCATTCATTTGTATGTAAATAACTTTAATAACTTACTTTGTATTGATTTTAAGCACAGTGGATATTGCAATAAAATATTTTAGTAAAATATGGTTTTCTTAATACTTTATAGCCATTAGTTTATTTGTTCCATAGCAAACTACATTTTGTTTATCCATTCATCTGTTGATGGACATTTGGGTTGCTTCCGCCTCTTGGCTATTATGAATGATGCTCCTATAAGCATGAATGTGCAAATATCTCTTCAAGACCCTACTCTCAATTCTTTTGGATATTTACCCAGAAGTGGGATTTCTGGCTCATGTAGTAGTTCTGTTATTAAGTTTTAGAGGACCTTCCATACTGATTTTCACAGTGGTTACACCATTTTACAATCCAACAGTGCACATGGGTTCTAATTTCTTTACATCCTTGCTAATACTAGTTGTTTTGTTTTGTTTTTTGACAGTAGCCATTCTAATGGGTGTGAGGTGACATCTCGTGATTTTGGTTTGCATTTCAGTGATTAGTGATCTTCGTATTCTTGTTGGCCATATGTAAATCATCTTTGGCGTAATATCTATACAAGTCCTTGCCCATTTAAAAAAAATTGTATTGAGCCCAGCCAGTGTGGCCCAGTGGTTAAGTGTCGATCAATGAACCAGGAGGTCACAGTTACATTCTTCGTCAGGGCACATGCCCAGACTTCGGGCTCAATCTCTAGTAGGGGGCATGCCAGAGACAACTGATCAATGATTCTCTCTCATCATTGATGTTTCTATCTCTCCCTCACCTTTCCTCTCTGAAATCAATAAAATTATATGAAAAAAAAAAAAACTCCCTACAAACTAAAGCCCTGGACCAGGTGGCTTCACAGGTGAATTTTACCAAATCCAGATGATGACTACAAAGAAAGAAAATTATAGGCCAATATCCCTGATGAACATAGATGCTGAAGTCCTCAACAAAATATTAGCAACTGGATCCAGCAATACGTTGAAAAGATCATACACCATGATCAATTGGGATTTATTCCAGGGATGCAGGGTTGGTACAATATCCATAGCATTTTTGCTGTTATGTTGGGGAGACACTAGTTTTCAAGTTTCACTTTAACTGGTAATATAATTGATGTCTTTTAATTTGTTTAGAAAAAAAAATAAGTAGCATTTCCTTCTGGAAATAAATAATTCATTTTCTTTAGTAAATCTATAGTGCTATAGTTATGTAGGAAATTAGGACAGAAATAAATCATGTATCAGTATATTAGATATACTAGTACTAGTATTTTCAGTAATATAAGAATATTTTCAGTAACATCATTTTATGTTCCTCTAACATAAATGTAGCTCAATAGTGAAAGGCAGAAAATGAATTATGAAGTCTCTTCTAAGTCCAGGCTAGGCCTGACGCCAACAGCTAGAGAGTCTATGTCTAAAATGTTTTTTAAAAAAAAAGATTTAAATGTGGGAGGAGGGCAAATGCTTCTTTTCAAAATGTGACAGAATATGATGTTATTTCTAATAGGGAGATATAACAAATGCATTTTGGGAAACTAGTGAATGTGTGTATAATAGGGTGTCTCTTCCAGCAGTATTAACCCAGGATTTCATCCAAAGAAAATTTGAGACTAAACAGATGTGGCCTTCTAAAGATACAAAGTGATCAGCTGAAAATTATCACCTACCATCATCTGCATCTGTAGTAACGGCAATTGAAGAGATGACAAGGTAAAAACCACATATATTTGAAGTTAATTGACCTTAGACATTACAAACTTGTCTTCTCTCAGTACAGTAGGAACCCTCTTGTCTGGGACCCTTAGTTGTTTGGTTAATCCAAAAAGTCACTAAAGCAGGGATCATAAAAAATAAATAAATAGCCCTGGCTGGTGTGGCTCAGTTAGTTGGAATGTCATCCTGTGCCTGAATGGTCACAGGTTTGATTCCTGGAAGAGTATGTACTAAACTGTTAATAGTAGTGATCTGAACAGTGACTTTACCTTTGAGCATTTCTGTGTTTTAAAATATCTACAGTGAACATTTATTAGTTTTATTACCACAAGGAAAAAATAATAATTTTTAAAATAAAAATACAATTACTATAAGCATTGGATATATATATTAGGCCAAATTTATTATATACCTTCCAGTTGTATTAGTCTTCTAGGATTGCCATAACAAAATGCCACCCACTGGGCAGCTTAAACAACAATAATTTATTTTCTCACAGTTCTGAAGGCAGACAATTCTAGGTGTCATCTGGTTTGGTTTCCCTTGAGGCCTCGCCTTGGCCTGCAGAAGGCCCGCCTTCTCACTGTATCCTTACATGGTCTTTCCTCTCTGCTTGTGCATCCCTGGTGACTCTTCCTTTTATAAGGACACCAGTCATATTGGATTAGGGCGCCCACCCCTGATTTTATTTAACCTTAATTATCTCCTTAAATGCCACACCTCCAAATATAGTCGCACTGGTGATTAAGGCTTCAACATTTGGAAGCAGACACAATTCAGTCCTTAACACCACCAACTGCTAGCTACTCTAAAACAAAAATTTCCAACTCTGAATTGCACATGAAATTAAATTCACTGTGGGGAGACTTTAACAGCAAATATGAGGGAGAGAGAAAATTTCCTCCACCCTTCTAGGTTTTCCCAGCTGGTTTAATCAAATCAACATGAAACAGATAAGAGAAGATAATCAAATTTAATCACATGTGTGCATATGAGAACTCCACACACATGAAAGGTTCAGAGACAGGAAGTTAAAATGAGGCATTTATGACATTCTGAGCTAAGGTTGAGGAGTAAGGAAAGGCCCATGGAGGCTTCAGAGGGAGGGAGGTCTTTGCAGGATGAAGAGAAAATCAGATGCTCAGTACTTTGAAGTTTGTCCTGCCCTATTATAGAAAGGTCATAAGAAGTTATTTCTTTCCACGATGTGTACAGCAATGACTGACATTTCTTTGTCAAAAATGTCTTAAGTGGGAGGACATGTGCAAGGTTTGTGATTGCAGAATTAAGTGGAGATGGTAAAGATTGTTAACTGACCCAAGAAGGCTTGTAACAACACTATTCTTGGAATTATGTGGATTTTCTCCTTTGTTTTTAATATTAATCTCTATATTAATTCTAACAAAATTAAATATCCTGTCAAAGATTTTTAAGATATTCTTTACTTTGTAGATCTGTCAGTTTACTTGAAACATTAAAATGGTGATAAATATATTTTTTTTAAAAAAAAAAACACCAAAAATGTATCTCTGGTGATAACTCTTATTATGGGCAAGGCCCCAAATTGAAATTCCTTAAGGGAGAGAGAAAAGTTTCTCATGAGCCTCAGAGTCTCAATTGCCTTCAGCTCAAAAGAATACATTCCAAAGTGGCGCATCTTGGCGAGGCCTGTTCTGAACACAAGGTCACTGGAGAGTTACAACAGTTACATGGGTAATTTAAGGGGTAAGAGGGGAAAGGGACTGTATTGCCTAAATAAGTACTTGACTTTTCTTGACCCATTTTACATTTGCTTTCTCCATGTGCTATAATTATAGAAACCTGATATTTTCTAGTCTTAGATGTAACTGCAGCATGAACCACTCCGCTGCACATTAGATCACGTTAGTTAGTGCTAGAGCCCAGCCCCATTTACAAGGCATCTGATGAAAGGTGAGATGTGGCAGTTCCACCATAATGCCATTTTTCTCCAAAGAGATCCATTTAAGTGGCTGTCCATGTCCCAGTAGCTTAACCTGAAATTAAAACACACACACAAATGTCTCCAGGTATATCTGTGACTCGCCCACTTTATTGAGAAGGGGTGGTTGATATTCCTTAAAAGCATTGTAGACAGAAGATTCATTTTTTACTTTTATTTAGTAGTTCACAAGCTATAATTAAACATTAGATTTCAACTCCCCTCATCTTTTTGGCCTGATCAACCATAATCGTTAGAAATGAAATATGAAAATACGATGCAAGGAGAAGCATGTGGACAATTCACCTCTAAGAAAATTGTTGATTTCTTTAAAATAAGCTATAAAATATATCAAAATGAATTCAATACCAGACTTAGTGGTTATAACTATTAGATTAACCTTTAACTTTCTCCAAAGTATTTTATGAACTAAACATAGTAGGGCTAAGACTTCTTCCTTTTATTCTAATGTGTTCTGGGTGGGATGTCAGGGGAAGAATACAAATTCCAGTTTTATGAAGAATCATTTCGGATGCATACAGTGAACTCAAACAACATAAAACAACTGTGAGGAAGAATATTTTACATTGATGTGAATGGAGATGACTTATCTGCTTTATAAGTTTAGTTTTCTGGGAAATGAAAAAAATTTTTCAAAGGTTCTGGCCAAATATTGCCATTAATGAAGCTCATTTTAAAATTACTCTTATGGGTAAATAAGAACACATATAAGGATCTCCTTAAAGTTAAAAGTTATGTTTTTATCAGGATATTCTAGTCAACAATTTAAAGGAACAATAAAGATAAAATTCCCTCTTACCTCTGTTGACCCCAGAGTAGCTTTGGGTTGGCCAAGAAACAGCTGTCCTGATGTGGGCCATTTGAGAAACATGGCATAGACCAAGTTTTCTTTAGCTTTTGATGTGTACCTGGTTAAAAGGGGAGGAAAGCATAGTAATATTTCTCATTATTTATAGGTCAGGTCTGAGTTATTTATAGAGATACTTCCATTTGGTAAATATTTACCAAGAGGGAAAGAGCTCTCACAGTGAGGAGGGGAGAGCAGGGCCACCTCAGGTAGGTGACATTGGTAGGAGCCAGACATGGGGTTTTATAGGCCTTGTCGAATGCCTTGACTTTTTATCTTTATTTATTTTTTTAAAGATGCGTTTTTATTGATTTTAGAGAGAGGAAGGGAAAGGGAGAGAGATGGAAACATCAATGATGAGAGAGAATCATTGATCAGCTGCCTCCTGCATACCCCCTATTGGGGATTGAGCCTGCAACCCAGGGATGTGCCCTGACCGGCAATCGAACCGTGACCTCCTGGTTCATGGTTTGCCACTCAAACACCGAGCCACACTGGCCAGGCTTATCTTTACGTATTATAATAAAGGAAACTTGATGGAATAACTGTTAATGATTGTGAAGTTCCAGATCAGACACTCTCATAGTCAAATATAAGTACAGAAAAAAATTCCACAACCAGATTTAAACTGGGCTCTGTGAAATGAAGGCTCAGTACTGAGTTCTCATTATGGCTTCTCACAGACCCAAAGTTCTAAAATTCTACAACAGGTTGCTTCTGTCTGCATTGCCTTAGTTTATTTTCTTCAATGTGCTAATAATTTTTTTAAGTCACAATTCAAGTGAAATCAAAGAACAGTTAGTCTAATCTTTTGAATTATACTTGATCAGCTATACTCACTTTGGTAGCAACACAAGGTGAATTTTTAGAGCTTCACTCATACTACTCTTATCTACACTAATAAAAGAGAAACATGCAAATTGGTGTCACTCCGCTATGCCCACCAGCCAATCAGAGCAACTATGCAAATTAACCCAACAAAGATGGCAGTTAATTTGCATATGCAGGCACGGAGCGAAGACTGAAGGCTCCAGCCGGAGTGAAGACTGAAGACTAAAGACTGAAGAGGCTGCAGTGGAGAAGCCAAGCCTCGCTGGGTCCTGGGTGCCGGCAGCCAGGGGAAGGAAGGCCTATTGCACGAATCTTCGTGCAACAGGCTTCTAGTGTATATATAAAACCTCACATTAGAAACCATCACATATCCAGAGTCTGATTCAGGTTCTCATTGGCCCACAGAACCTTCCAAAACTCAGATAGGGGCCTGAGGCAAGGCTTTTAAAGAAAAATACAGCAAAAAGAAAAATTATCAAGTTAAGATAATTCATTTTAAAGAAACTTACGGTTTAGATTTACTTGGATACTATAAATAAGTTACAATTATTTTAATCAACTAGTGCTGTTATTGGAGCTGATTTTTTAATATTTTTTCATGCCCTTTGGCACTTCTTGCTTGCTAATTTGATGTGATATGACATCTGCAAATGTTAGAATTTACTTAACTAACTAAACAGAAGTCTCTCTTTTGGATTAACCACTCAAGGTTTTTCAATTTTCTAAATGGCTTATAATTTTTATAGGAGTTGACTACTTTTCACTAAAATTTGTATCTAGAGATGATTTGAGCTCAATTTGCTAAACAGTAAGTGTTCAAAAACATGCTTCCCCTTCCTTCTCTTCATAGAAAATAAAGTTTGGAAAGTGTTTTGTATTTCCTCTTTTATCCTATTTTTCTCTTTATATCTCTGAGAAAATGTAAGTGCCTTCTTTTATCAGATAGTACTGATAACAAGAATAACTTACCACACATCTGGGGTGACAGTGTCATTCTGGGATCTCCAAGTGTTGGTTTCATAAATGGCTTCTCCATTGACTTTTAGCCAGGTCCCCATTTGCCTTAATCGCTCCTCAAAAACTGGGGAAATGGTGCCATCCTTAGTGGGCCCAATATTCATCAAAAGATTTCCTCCACATGAAACTGTTTCTACAAGTTGCTAAAAAAATAAATAAATAAATAAGAATACATATAGTTTTTAGAGAGATAAAGCAATTTATCTGTGTTATGAAGTCAGGGAGTGTTCTGCTGTGTTCCCTGGGCCCACGAAGGGCGGACATACAAATACTCTGGATAGGCCTTGATATTTAGAACAGCATTTCCATCACAAATGTATTAATATGTTGTATTTATGGGTTTATACATGAATATTTGGTCACTATCTAGGAGAACAAGCATGGAAGACAGAACAGTGCCCTGTATTTATAAGCCACTGAGCTATACAAACAAAAAATGATTCTCACACACCCACACTATTAAGAATATTACCATAATTGTTACTAGACATTTCACTGTACCTTCACCAATTCTTCAATTGTAAGGTAGTCACGGATTCCTGCATTCCTCCTATAGCCCCAGGAAAACTTGTCTATTGTCATGCAGTTTTCCCACTTTTGTGGCAGAAGATGTCCTGGGTTATACCGGTCACTGCAGGTATAGTAGCCACCATGCTTACAGATGCTACCAGCTCCCCAACGGTCATTGGTGACTACTGTGTCCCGAACTGGGCTGGAATGAAAAACATACTTTTTAAAAACAAAAAGTAAAATTTTTCAACACAAGAGGAAATGTCACTGAAAAGCGGTCTGACTGAAATTTATTCCTAAAAATGCACTAATAAATGTGTAATATAATACAAAGCCCATGGTTTTGAAGTCAAATGGACCTGGGCTGCCTACACTCACTTTCTAAGCTTCCTATCCTACAGCAAGGTACCTAATTCCTCTGAGTGAACAATTTCTTCAGCTCTCATTAGAATAGAAAAATTTATATAACACACCTAGTCCAGTGCCCAGCACATACAACACGAATAAGAGTATTACACTATTTTTTGAAGCTTGCCCCCAATATTGTGAATGATACCCAAAACTGAATTCACAATGAAGACATTCTTCTCACCATTGCCTGAATCATCTCATCTCTTTCTCATACAATTGTGCCTAATACTGAAACATTTCAGGTAAGTCGACTTGCAATCATGAAATTCACTGTGGTATGAAATATCCTACAATATTGTTTCTCATAAGAGGTGGTACCTCCAGCACCTCTCTACTGAGAGGGGACCCCCATTTTGACTTACAAATTGAAGTGGATGGCTCCCAGTCTTTCCCATTGGAAGGTGTACCTGAAGAAACTGCTGTTCTAAATATCAAGGCATATCCAGAGTATTTGTATGTCCGCCCTTCGTGGGCCCAGGGAACACAGCAGAACACTCCCTGACTTCATAACACAGTACCAGGTACCTTCTAGTTACAAATATAAATTTGTTCCATCTAGTTTAAGCCTAAATAGCAGAGCTCAGTCAGAACTCCCTGTGCCAATGGGACAGGCTGGAACACGCTAGAAAGCAATGGGAAAGAACAGGAAGAGGTGAGAATGATGAAGGAAAAAAGGAGACAGACAAGGGGGACACTGACTGGTTATCAAAGAGTAAGAGGATGAAAAGAAGAAGCAATTAGAGGGACTGAAGAGCACATAAGCAGAAACAGTCATGGGTAAATAGAGTTGTCCCAGGAGAGGAGATGAAAAAGGGGACCCACAAAATTAATGTCTTCAGAATTCTGCATTCTGTGATTTTTGGTCTGACTTCAAAATTTAACTCTTGATTTGTAATTCTTGATTATTTTGAGTAAATATTGATATATCTAATAAGAATTATTTATAATGATTTCCTCCCCCATATCATACATGAGCCTGAAAGGAAATATTTCAAGAAGCAAGGGAATGAAATGTTATGCATGTATTAGGAACATTTAAGGTAGCTACAGCAGTCTAACAGCATACACGCCTTTCATTGTACAGCCAAGCTAAGAAACCTGTGCTGTTCCAGTAGCAATCGGGTGCCCCTCCATCGCCATCTGCCCACAGGACCTCCGGCCGGTACTTGTTCACCAACTCGTAGAGCTCGGGCTGCATCTTAGAAACTGGAAACTGTCGCTTCTGGAAGGAGCTGGATTCATCATCAAGGAAGAGCGGATGAAACCACTCAAAAAGGGAATAGTAGAGTCCAAAACGCAGGTCAGTCCTGTTCCTAATGGCTACCTCCAGTTCCTTGACGACGTCCCTCGTGGGCCCCTCATCTACAGCATTCCAGTTCCATGAGTGCTCTGAACCCCACAAGGTGAAGCCTGCACAATTAGGTTAACAACCTGTGTAAGTAGGTCCACTTTATTTTAGGTAAATCTCTACCTATGCAAATGCAAAAACATATCTAATCATACACATGGTATATAAATAACTGCTTCTACAAACAACTGTTATGGCAATTTTTTTTTCATGATATATATTCTGCTTTTATATGAGCAACAAATGAGAATTTAAACAAGGTAAATGGAGGTTTTTAAAAGTAACTCTCACCTGGCTGGCGTGGCTCAGGGGTTGAGCTTTGACCTATGAAGCAGGAGGTCACGGTTCAATTCCTGGTCAAGGGCACATGCTCGGGTTGCGGCTCAATCCCCAGTATGGGGCATGCAAGAGGCAGCCAATCATTAATTCTCTCTCATCATTGATGTTCTATCTCTATCCCTTCCCCTCTCCCTTCCTCTCTGAAATCAATAAAAACATATTTAAAAAATAAATAAAAGTAACTCTCAGGGTACTGACAAGATCTGTAGAGTCTAATCTGTCTTCTGTGTTTTCCCTCATAGAATATAAGCTCCTTGAGGAATGGCATCATGTCTGCCTTGTTCCCTGTTATAGTCCCCGCCAGCTGCAAGCACTGGGTCTAACACGAAATCAGCAATCAACATTAGGAGGTCACAGCTAAGATTAAAGTAGATTCCCCACTTTTAGGGTTATTTTATTATGGTGTGATTCTTAGAATGCTGGTGATCCTTGTGAAGCAATAAATCTTTTCACGAGGGGGTGGAGGGGGGGTGAGTAAGACTCTAGTCTGTACTTTAAAATACTTGCCCCACCATTTGTAATCTCATCTACTTTAAAGTCCTAAGCTAAGATGTTGCTTCTTAAATTAGCTAAAAGTGAATTATCTACCAACCACATAGGTCCTTCCATGCTGTCTCGAAGGTGCAGTGTGGATATTTTAAACCCTGATTCAAAATGTTTCAACTTGTCAGGCCCTAAGGTCAAGCAGTGCTGAAACCACATGGGTCTCCAGCTCAGTGTCACCACTGTACGCTCACACAGTGGTCTTCCTGCCTAACAAGCCCAGCAGGATCTGTTCCATGAGCAATGAAAACATCTGACAGCATGGGTCCTAGAAAGTTTATACATGTGAGCTTCATCATCTGTCCTCACAGTATGACTAAGAGTGGCTTTGTCTGTTGGTTTAATAAGCTCACTGTGTAATACCTTGTTCTTACAGCTCGGAGAAGTTCTAAGAGCAAGGAAATCAACACATTCACAAACAAATACACATCATACATATTCATCCAATAGGAGAAACGTCTATAGGAAAAAATCATTAAGCCACTAGAATTCGGGTAAAGAGGAAAATATTCTAAGATAATGCCAGATTTGTGGTTTTGGTTCTTCCCTCCTACTCCCCTCCCCACCCCTGAAGGAAGCAATAGGGTAAGATTTCTTATACCAAGGCAAAGATGATCTTGCAGGGGAAATTGCCAAGTGAATTAACATTAAGTTGGAACAATAACAATTTATTGATGCTTCTTTGATCTTATAAATACTTGAATGTTGAATGATAATGGGTGGAAATGATCCTATTAATGTAGGACCACAGTGATGATTAACTTTATGTATCAATTTGACTACTAGGCCATAGGGTACCCAGATATTTGGTTAAACATTATCCTTGGTATGTCTATGAGGGTATTTCTGCATGAAATTAACATTTGAATAGATAAACTGAGTAAAGCAGATTGCCCTCCCCAATGTTGTGGGCCTCATCCAATCTGTTGAAGGCCTGAATAGAATAAACAGCTGAGTTAGAAAGAATTCTTTCTCTCTGCTTATCTTTGAGCTGAGATATTGGACTTCTCCACCTTTGGACCCAGGCTTGAAATAGAACCTACATCATTAACTCTCCTGGTTTTCAGGCCTTCAGGCTCAGGCTGGAACTACACCATCAGCTCCTGTGTCTGGACCACTCAGCCTCCATAATTGTGTGAGTCAATTTCTTGTAATAAATCTCTTTATATCTCTTATCTTCCTATTGGTTCTGTTTCTCTGGAGAACCCTGACTAATACACCACTGTGTTTCCTTTGAGATATTCTTTCATTTCTGATATTTCTGGGCACCATTACAGTTCCGTAATCCTTTTTCTTTCAGGTAATCTGTGTCACTTTCATCACTAGCAAATTGTCCACCATTTGGTCATGTAAGAGTTGGCCAAATGCACGGCCGTGTGTGTCAGTAATGACACAAGACTACAGCAGCCTTACCCCATGATGCCTTCCCAGAATGCATTACAGAGGTGAAATGAAAGGAAAGAGCAGAATTCCAATTATAAACTTTGACCTGCAACCCACAGCCCATTTCAAATAGCTTTAATCAAATTTTAGAAATATTGCTAAATATGCCTATAACAAAAATGTGATCTCCTCCCTCCTCTGTTATGTGGAGGGTATGATCTTTCTGCCTGCCTAATGCCTCTTAATTGATGGAACATGTGGTCCCTTAAGTTATAAGCAAATATCAGTAGCCACTTATGGTTGATCCCAAGAGAATACTCTGGTTTCGTGTAGATGACCTTGCTTTAGTTTCTGCTTCCAAATGAACTACTTTACACTTCATAACCATCGTCCATGTTTGCAAATGTTGCAGTTACTTACCCTCATGATGTTTGGAAGTTAAGACAACATATTTGGCACCAGAAGCCTGAAAAATATCTGCCCACTGGTTCGCATCATAAAACTTTGCGGTAAATAGTGGTCCAAAATCTTCATATTTGAAATCAGGAGGGTAGTTATTTTTCATAAAGTCCACAAATGTTTGTATTTTTTCCTTTTGCCAATACCACCTAAAGGGACGAACAGAAACAGCATATGAAACATTTGAAATGACCAGGCCAGCTCCCTTTACTAATTCTCCCTCCCTCAAATATTACCCAGATTCACTTTTTCACTTCCCCACTAGTTTGTCATTTCCTTAAAGAAAGTTTATGTAAACCAAAATCCCCCTCATATTCCATCTATTCCTCTGTGAAGTCTGCTCAACTCATAAACTAGAACATTCTAGACAACCCAGCCACGCATTTGCTATTAATCCCCACTTTTAAATAGCAACATGAGGTATATATCTTTGTAACATAAGTGAGGAAAGCTTCAAAGGGAAAACTAAGTGCCTAAAACATAACATGGATCTACTACATTCACTAGCAGAGAACAAGTGGGGGAGTAGGCAACAGTAAAATTAAGAAGATGCTGCTATTTTAATCTATTGACTCAGCCTTCAAGGATTCCTTGTTATCTGCATTTATTCTGAGCAATGGGGCCTAAACTTCCTAAGCAAGGCTTCATGAAGAAAACTGTATCAAAAACATAATTTTACATTTTAGACAGATGTAGCAGTAACTTTCCTTATGAAACAGTCTCAAGACCCATCTCTGACCCATCTTCTACTTTCTCCACCACCACCAGTCAGATACATATTTTTCCAGCTTCCACTGCAGCTTGGACATGGACATGTGACCCATGCTGGTCAATGGAATGTAAGGGGATGCCAACTTGGAAGATTCTGGGAAATGAATAATAAGAAAAACTGGCCTTCCTGCCTTTGGACAAGGTTATGTCAAGTTATGGCCGGCTACCATCATGAGACCACAAAGGAACAAGAGGCTGATGATAACAGAAAGTGTCTATGTCTTTGATTTCATCAATGAGCCAACTACTTCGAATTCTCCTTATGTATGAGAACAAGCCCCTACTATCGCACATATTTTTCTATACCTTGAAGTGAAAGTATCCTAATTGATCCACGACACATTTGTACCTTTTAAACTGAACTACAGAAGAAAAAACTGGGACACTCAGAAAGTTGAACAAGGATAAGGGATTTCTCCTATTTCCTCCTAGTACAGTCTAATTTGAACCTACATTCTCTATATTGTCTAGAGCCACTTCTCAAATTTCATCCAAATGGACATGAAAAGAGGCACTTGAGCAGTCCATCATTTATATTTGGTTTTGCATGGCCTATAAGGACAGCCAGATATACTGATCGGCACTGTTCACTGCCCACGAGTCAAACTGGGAAGGGGAGTAGAGGTTTAGAAAAGACACAAAGGGAAACCATGATAATTAAAGAATTGTCTACAGCAGCGGTCAACAACCTTTTGGACCTCATGGATCACCAGTGGTGTTGGTGGCCACAGGTCTACAGGGTTAATGCACTTACAGACCATCAGAAATATACTCTATCTTGTTTTGTTTGAGAAGTATTTTTATTGTTCTCAGTCACAACAAAAAGTCCTGTGTTCACTGGAAGAAAATAAAAAGTTTACCACTGCAAAGAATAAAATTACTCAAAACTAGCTGTCTGTGGCAGAGCATTGGTCTCAATTAACGAACATCAAATCCTCTTCTAGCACCAAATGTATAATTTACCTAATCTTCATAGTTGAACAAAATGATAACTTAATGTATTATCCTATATAATAAAAGCCTAATATGTAAATTGACCAAACAGCAGAACAACCAGTTGCTATGACATGCACTGACCACCAGGGGGCAGATGCTCAATGCAGGAGCTGCCTTCTGGTGGGCAGTGCACTCCTGCCACCACCACCACCACCAGGCTCTCGAGCAGTGAGTCTGGCTCAAGGTTTCTGATTGAGCTGCCCTCCCCCTGTGGGAGCGCACTGACTACCAGGGGGCAGCTCCTGTATTGAGTGTCTCCCCCCTGGTGGTCAGTGCTGGTCATAGCGACCAGTCTTTCTACCGCAGTTGGGTCAATTTGCATATATATACTCTATAGATAGCATTTATCTTGAAGAATTTAACACCATAAAGTATTTAATCAGGAAAGGTATGTGAAACACTTCAAAGTTGTAAGAGATTACATGCACATTTTTATACAGACCTCAAGGTAAAATCTATCTAAAGGGCAATACTCTTCATATAGTAAGGTGTTATTTTTATTAAACTACATTCTAGAACGTTTTTTTAAAAATTCCTAGAGGCACACATGGTAACATTTTAACATTGAAGAGCCAGTGACTGCCCAAATGAACAGATGTTTCCCATACCCATGCATTTATGTTGTCACCACACTTCATGGCAAAACGGCTGAAAATGAGCCGGTAGCAGAGGGGACAACGCCCTCTCCAGCGGCAGTTAAGGTGCAAGCTTCAGTGCTCATCCTGTGCTCCTACACAAGTCCATTCATTTCTGCTAGTTTCCTCGTTGGATGGTTACACTGTAGCGTGATAAATACACGTTGGCAAGTGCAACTATCCAGGAGCTGAGAAGTCAGAGCCACCTTAAGTGCCTGACAATAACCGCAGTCACACGGAGGAAAAGTCAATGCTTACCCAGGCCGAAAGCTTACACTATAAATCAGAAATTTCACACCCGGAAATTCCAAACGCGGATAAGCCACTGGGAGGCGAAACCGCAAGTGGTGGCCGGGTGGCGGCTGGAGGCCGGGGGACAGAAAGAGGGCCCGGGGAGACACGGGGGGAGGCACACTCACCAGAACCATTCGCTCCCGAAACTGGGCACGGAGAACACGCCCCAGTGGATGAAGATGCCGAACTTGGCCTGGTCGAACCAAGCGGGCAGCGGGCGGGCGTCCAGGGACTCCCAGGTG